GAATTTCTGACATTGTAAAGAGATTCAATGTTACTAAGTATTCAAAACTAACCCATGTAGTTATGAAATAATTGTTTTCAACAAAAAGGTGCTTCCGAAGTATTTGTACCAAGATGGCGAACAGCCTGAACATTGTATGTGTACCAGGTCAAGGTTCAGGATATGCGTCATCTTGGTACGAATACTTAAAATCCACTTAGAAAAAATAGCTCAACATTTTATACTTTATACCCCCCTGGGTATCATTATTTATGTCATCGACATTTTATCTAAACATTAAAAAAAAGTTTATGTCCCAAAACAATGTTAAGGCCCGATTCTGCCGGACTATATCCTTTTACCCTGGATAAATTTGTAAATCCTATCCTATAGTATGCGAACAAAATTAGTTCCCTCCATATTGGCACATACACTTCTGAAGCGCGTTAAAACGCACACCAACACACACATAAAACTTCTTTCGGGCCGTTGTCTTTTTAAAACAATTCGGCTATTCAATCCGATAATATGTTGAATACGATGTGATAAGTCGACAACGATATTTATGGCCGAGGGAAAACTCCAGTAACCAGACATTGCTGAAAAGTGAGTTGCATAAGTTTTGCTAAATATTCTGCACGGCTACTTAGAAAAGGCCCAAAGAGGAAAATGAATGTTGCGCACAGACTCATTACAAAACTGCACGCGATTTATTTGGACACCCGTCCGTCAACTTAGTTCAGAACAAAAAACCTCTCAACAGAGGAAAATCAACTTACCACACAAGACAGTATTGTGAAGCAACAATACATTCCAAAAGCAGATGGAGTAAACAAGCACAAGAAGTAAGCTCAAACATAATATATAACAGTTTAGTCTCATACCATACCCACAGGGATTCGAATCTGCAACGTGAAGATGACACGAAATGGACCTATAGATCGATTGTTTTGTTATTATGTCTTTGTTGATTATCTTGTTAGTATTTTTCTTATTGTTTGTTACCATATGAAAAAAAAATCGCATCTCTCTTTAACTACTGGACCAATTGCTTTGAAACTTTTATTGGTAAAGATTGTATTTCGCTATAAGGCTATTACTTTTATTTATTTCAAAAATTTCTGTGAGATCTCGTAATCGAAATTTCAAATTGCGTTCTTGTGTCGATTCCGCCTTCGCGATCTTGTGATCACTGCGGTACCGGTAGGCTACCGTGACTGATTTCTTATCCGTGCTACTTCGTTTTAATATATTTGAACATTGCTGTCCTGTTTCCCAGTGGCGGCGCGTCAATAGGGCCAACCGGGGCAATGCCCCGGTTGTTTTTTCGGTATAATAAAAAAATATTCGAAAAATACTTCAATATCGGTTGCACAGACTGTCTACACTAGCCATATTCTCCCGACATGGTTCATTTTTCGCTCGCAAAGCCTTCGCCGAACGTCGACGGGGCGACGCCGATTTTGCCCCGGTTGCTCATTGTATATCGTATTCTCTCTTTTATCTTCCACTCGCCGCGTTTGTCTCGTTTGTTTTCTGTTTCTTTTACTAAATCATCGGGGCTAGCCCCGAAATTATGACGACACAATGCCGACGTTTCTTACAACAACGTGTTGACATATTCACGCATTCCTTCTCGTTCGTTGGTTGCTTGAAGAGTTGATAGTTTCCTAGCCTTCGTTTTCGTCGCTTGTTTCGCTATTTGAATCAGTTAGAGACCTTTAGTCCATTTGCTTTCGATTTTCCACATTCCTTTTGAGCTCCTCACCTTTTTCCGGCTTCGCATTTCTTAGCCTTAGACCTCATAATGAATAAGGTTGATGCACTACTTCGCACTCCGTTTTCGTAGCTGCCGCTGGAACAAAAATTTGAGGTACAACGTCTTGGGCCTTATCAACCAAAAAATTGTTCACTGGAACAATCCCATGACGGAAGAAAGCGTCGGCGTACATTCTGCGCAGAAACTTGGTATAAAAAACACGAATGGTTGTGTTACAGCGAGGACAAAAATGCACTTTTTTGTTTTTATTGCCTACTTTTTGCTACCGCCCGTGACTCACGTTGGTGTAAATTTGGTTTTAGAGATCTTAAACATCTTTCCGAGCGTGCCAGGGATCATCAATCTTCTATGAAGCATCTGGACAATGCAGTAAAATACCGAACATTCGGAAATGTTAATATTGCAGCACAGTTGGATGCAGGACGCGCGGTTTCTATTCGTCGGCACAACCAAAACGTCGAGAAAAACCGCATGTTCTCGGTCGATTGATAGATGTTTTGAAGTTCATTGGTTGTCACGAGCTGTCCCTCCGTGGGCACGATGAACGGGCTGGCTCTTCTAATAGAGGGGTATTTTTGGATATGGTGGAATACACCGCATCCCTAGATACAGTATTGAGAGATCATCTTGATGCCGCAACTGTTTCGAAAGGGATATCTAAGGATATCCAAAATGATTTGCTCGACTCAATGTATAAAATTTATTTACAACGTTTGGCTCTGGAAATTGAGAATTGCCAGTTCCTTTCGATTCAGTCTGACGAGACAACTGACATCACGTGCGTTTCCCAACTGGCTGTGATTTTTCGGTTTGTGAAAGATGGTAAACCTACCGAGAGATTTCACAGCTTTGTACCAATCGTTGATCGCACGGCTTGTGGGATATCGGCTGTACTGAAAGAAGTGTTACAGCCTTACAACGCGAAGTCAAAATTGATAGCTCAAACTTATGACGGCGCGGCAGTCATGAGTGGGTCGAAACATGGTGTTCAAGTTTATATAAAAAAAGATTTTCCTCATGCGCATTTTTTACATTGTTATGCACACCAATTTAACCTCATTATTAAAAATATGTGTCTTGATACCCCTCTCGTCCGTATATTTTTTGCAAATGTTTCGGGGTTTTCTTCATTTTTTTCCGTTTCGCCGAAGCGCTCTGACCTCCTTCGCCAGATATGTAGCCGCCGTCTCCCAGCTTGTGCACCAACACGTTGGAACTTCCAATCACGCGTGGTGCAGGGCGTGTCCGAAATTAGGTCTGAGCTCATTGAGTGTTTCAATGGCATTCAGAGCTCTCCGGTTTGGGACGAACGCTCTGTGAGGGAGGCGGCAGGTCTAAAGCGTCTGCTAGAAGATGGTGAGTTTTCATTTTTTCTCGCTTTTTTCTCCACAATATTCTATCACGTGGATGTATTATACGGCGCATTGCAGTCAAGGCTAGGAGCGTCTGTGCAGCCTTGTATTTCAGACTTCTGCGATGCTGTATCTCGTATCCGGGAAACAATAAAATACGACGACATAGGCTTGCACGTAATTTACGGATTTACGGAATTACGGAATTATTTCGAGTTACGGAAGCGAAGTTACGAATTACGTAAAGTCGTAATTATTGGTCGAGCGCTTTGGCAATTGAAACAAGCTCTTTTCAGAGCAGTCAATTCCGTCGATTGTAAAAAATTAAAGTTTAATAAGTAGAAGAAGTTAGAGCTCCGGTATTCGCAGCCGTTTTTCTCTCTCTTATCACGCAGGTGGGGAAGGCATAACGCGTTGCCATTTACTAATCTACTATCAACTTATCTAGCATGGCCAATGTACATATTAACCGTAGATAATGCCGTGATAATTAGTGTCGCGCTTATCAAACAGCAATATTACGACGGAAGAGAAATTGCGTAATGAACCAACGCAACTTAGTCTTTCCGGCTTCGGTAAAGCGATTGAGCCGGCAGAGAAACGACGGGATTTCCCGTGTTTATTCTGCGCGAGAACCATTTTCTATTTCAGAATCTTGATGTTCTGTTACCGGTTTTATCGTTAAATATCTCTCCAGACTTGGTCTTGCTCAATATGTTTTTCACAATGCCTCGCAATATTTCGGCCAAATATGATTAGATGTCTTTACCAAATGCGGCAATTATTTTGATTTATCATCGTCTCGAATACCACCGGCACTCGACCAAACTTGTGCCAATCTTGGCCGATAGGATTGTCGACTTGAGTTAGAAAAATAAATTAATATTTTCGTGAGTGCAAAATAAATGTCACAAAATGCATTGTTCTGCGATATAACTTTGTATTTCCAGAGAAGGCATATCATATAAGTACGGTATTTAAATTATGCGCAAATAATTAGTATTTGATCTGAATTATCGCAAATAATGTTATAATATTTAGGCCGCGAAATGATTTAATGTAAAATGAAGCATGGTAATCGGAATATCGTCAATAAGTCGGCATCAATATTTATTATAAAATGCTAACTAAGTAGTAAAGTCGGATATTGTATAAAAACGGTGAAATAACAAGTCTGATTAATAAATTAGAAACCCGAAATTTTTATTTAATACGAAAGTCCTATTAATACGCTAATACGATTTTAAAAAAGTCAACTATCGTTTCATAAATATCCGTATACCAGTGTCGGTAATAATAAAATTGATCGCATAAAATTGGGTGATTCAGATTCAGATTCAGATATTTATTTTCGTCATGCAAAAAACAATGCGCGATATGAAAAATGAATAAATAATATAATGTAACAAAATGTCAAATGGATATCGGCTTGTTGCAGTTGACGCGGAGTCGCGAAAAGACTCATAGAGTCATCTAGTCAGCGACACCTTGTAGCTGAAATTAAGCAGCAAATATAAGAAACGGGACACTCAATATTACACATTAACTTAATAAATTAACACGATCATACAAAAGACAAAAAAATAATACAAAATAAATAGAACTCAATATTACACATGGCTTAATTGGACACAATCATTCGAAAAATGAAAAACAACAAGAAAAAACCTGAGTAACTACGGGATGCCACAATCCCTGTGGAATGATTAACAAACATGAAATAGGCTATAATCATACAAGAAAAAGAGCGGCAAAACATGCGAAATAATCGACGGAATGCCACAATGACTTTGAAATAAAAAAAAGATTACTTTTAAATAAAAAACAAGACAGATAAAAAACATCAACAAATCGAAAATACACCACGGAATGTCATGACGAACGCAACAGCGACATCTATAAAATGGTTATGCCTCGTTGAGTACGGAGCACAGCGAAATAGCGTTATGACTCAGCGTTCAGTCTACACCAAGATGGCGTACCCAGCAACGGGAGTTTGCTGCTAGGGTTGAATTTGTGGCTATTTTCTGTTAAAGCGATTGCTAGTAAATTATTGGCTCTACAGATTAGTGCAGAATGAATTATGAGATCTGCATACTTCGTGTCGATTGCACTGGGCTGAAAATAGTAAGGAAATACCAGGACACAATATGCAGACAGAAGAAAATGGCAAGTTTCAAAAAGATGGATGGATATAGAAAACAACAGAAGGTAATGTTTTCAGATCAATGACAACTAGGCCTATAGGCATCAAGATATAGGCTTTTCAGTGCATGTTTGTAAGAATTATAACTACTGGATCGAATGTTATTAGGGAGGTTATTCCACAATTTAACACCAACGAATTTGATCGAGTTTTGAGTTCGTTTGGTGCTGAAGCGATTTACATAATATGAGCACCCGACAGAGGAGCGCGTTTCATAAGAGTGAACGTTGCTCTGTTTTAAAAAATAGTTGGTGAAAGCAGAAGGGAGTTTTTTGCAGTGATGTTGGTGCATTATTTTCAATACCTCAATTTCATAAATATCTGCTAATTTAATAATTTTAAGACTATGATAAATAGGACTAAGTCGTGAAATATAACTGGCAGCAGAAATTGCACGAATTGCTCGGTTCTGAATAATTTCAATGCGGTGTAATAAGGTTTTATCAGCTGAACCCCAAGCAATTATGCCATACTGGATATGGCTTTGAAATAAGGAATAGTAAATCATGCGCAAGGTGGTAAGCGATGTGTATCTTCTAAGCTTGTATAGCATTCCAACAGACTTGGATAATTTAACGGCCAGGTTGGACAAGTGAATATCCCACTTCATTTTTACTATCAATGTATATACCAAGATATTTAAAGGAATGGACATTTTCCAATTTTTTATTATCAATTTGGATTTCCAAAACATTTTTCGATTTGCATTGGTATGGAGATATTAACATAGATTTTGATTTTTCAATGTTTAGTGTTAATTTATTGGCTTTCATCCAACTTGACACTTTTGCAATTTCAGTATTTACTCTCAACTGAAGAACTGCACAAGATTTGTCGCTGTCAAGGAGATTAGTATCGTCAGCGAACAATTTGGAAAATAATGAAGAGCAATAAGTTATGTCGTTAATATATACGAGAAAAAGGAGAGGGCCCAAACAGCTACCTTGAGGAACTCCATGCGTCACCGGTAAGGGAGAAGAACAGTATGATCCCACTTGAACATATTGAGATCTATTACTCAAATAACTAGAAATGAGTTTGCTTGCAATTCCCCGTATACCATAATGCCTCAACTTAGAAATCAGGATGTCATGATTCACAGTATCAAAAGCTTTCTTTAGATCTAGAAAAGTTGCACTGACATACTCCTTTCTTTCCAATTTATCATAGATATATGATACTGTATCTAAAATGGCATGTGATGTAGAATAATTGCTCTGAAAACCGAATTGATATTTATTTATTACATCATATTTAGTTAAAAAATTTGCGAGTCTTTTATGTAACAAACGCTCAAACATTTTATCAATTGCTGAGAGGATTGATATTGGTCTATAATTTGAAATTAATTTTTTATTTCCAGATTTGAAAAGAGGAATAACCCGGGCGGTTTTGAGAGATGAAGGAAAGATTCCAAGTAACAGCGAGGAATTGAAGAATCTTGAGAGACAAGGGGCAATTATATCCGCAACTAATTTGATGAAGCGCGCTGGGATGTTGTCTGGTCCTACAGCCTTCCTGTCGTTAAGATTTTGTATTTCGATTAAAATTTCATTCGCGGTGGATGAGCTCAAAAAGATGGATTGGCTCACACGATTGCGGAGAAAAGGTTCGAAGTTAGCTGTATCCTTGGAAAACTTATCAGCCAGGCTGGACCCAATTGTTGAGAAGTATTTGTTAAATTCTGTCGCGATTAAAAGTTCATCTCTAGTTATACAACTAGTGATAAATGTGATAAGGGAAAATAAAGCTAACACAAAAGATAAAAATCAGAATAAAATTAATTTGAATTCACTCCTTGATATTTGTCTTTAACACCTGTCGCCGGCTTGTAGTACTGCCGGGAATATGAAAACCAAACTTCGATGTCCCATTCGGAATAGAAGCGGATTCAATTGGTTGTTATGATAGGTTTAAATGCGTGAAAAAAATATCGAAATTACGGGGTCATTACGTAATCGATTTGGCCGTAATTACGGAATTGATTTTTGTCAATTACGTGCAAGCCTACGGACGACACATGGAGTGCTTCTTGAAGCCGCGGGCAAACAACGCAGCGTTTGATTTTGTCTGCAAAGGAATGCTGTGACATTCTGGTGAATCAAATAGGCGATCGTCTGCGCACTGAACACCTTGCCGCGTTCTTTTTGATGAACCCCAAAAATTTTTCAAAATTTGCACGTCAATTTCCCATCCATTTGTTGGCTACTGTCTCCAAATTTTACCCCATGATAAACGTGGGTAAATTGGAAAATGAATTGCGATGTATATACACCAATCAAACTTTTTTGAACATCACATCAACCTGCGCGCTCTATGGGCTCCTCATAGATAACACTCTAGTAACTACCTTTGCGGCGTCTGCAAAATTTCTGGACATCATTTTGACGACGCCTATTTCTTCCGCCGACGCAGAGCGAACATTCAGCACGCTGAAGCGTATTAAAACGTATCTCAGAAACACAATGAAGCAAGATAGATTAAATTCCTTGGCTGTTTTATCCATTCACAGAGACGTTATTTCTGGGATGCATGACTTTAATCAGCGCGTTATTGAGCATTTTGCTTCCAAGAAACCGCGGCGCGTGCATATATGTTCAAGCAGTAGAAGTCTAGCAGCATATATATCTATGAGTGAGCGACGCATGTCCTTATCTTTGCCTTAACTTTCCTTTCTTCATAGTAACGTTTTGAACCTTATTTTAGGTTTTGTCTGCTTTCCCGAAGTTTCTGTTAATATGTCATTGTATTTATCTGGGTAAATATTGCCTTTTCTTTTGAAAGAGGTTTCAAAATAAACTATGTCTATATTTATTAATCCCTTGACTTGTACCGGTTTTAAAGACACTTTCTTATCGTTAAAAATTGTCGCCTTTGCCGATTGATTGTTACCGATGGAATGGTTTTTATACTCATAAAATGATGGGAGAACTTACAGCGCTCATCCTGTCCCCGTAGATGGGGGTGACTTGGTCCCGCAGTAGCTTGCCCCGGTTGTCAAAATGACCACGCGCCGCCACTGCTGTTTCCTATTTATTCCGGAAAGAGGAAATCCGGAGAAAAGGCTGAGGCACAATCACTATCTATAGCAGCGTTTCCCAAACTTTTTCGGCCACGGAACACTTATAGTTTTGCTCATACACAAAATATAACCAAAAGGAATCTTTTTGGCACTGGTAGATCTAAATATCTGAAAATATATCATTTTTGTTGAAACATTTTGAACTTTATATTACTGTAATAGGACTAGGAGTATCTGTTCGACGGTACCACTGCGCAACTGTTTACCAACGAAACTATACTGAAATACTGGGCCCTATGTCTGTTTATGACAAGAACCCATATGTCATATAGCAATAGACTACTGGTAGGCTACAACTGTAGTATACAATCTAAGCTGAAATAAATCTTCACAAAAACTGCTAAGAAAATTTTAAAAACGCAAATACAGAAATATATCAATACGCCAGGTATGTATTTACCTTACTAGATTTATTATAGTATAGCCCAATTCCACGTTGTAAATAATTTTGTTCGGGCGTAGTACGGTAGGTTCAGCACAGGTACGGTGCCACCGCAAATGCTACATATCGCAGCCTCGTGGTACAGGACGCTTGTACAGAGATCCCTGCTACTCCTTTTGTCGCCCCAAAATACAATATAGATTGTACGGTAAGCGATAACATCCAACACGACAAGCGCCGCAATCCAAATGCACTCGACAAACCGAGTTAAACCACCTCCAGACCAGGTTTAAAAAATCGCTGATTTTAAGTCGAGATATACGTCACAGAAAGTTAAACCAACTTTTTGATCCGGACCTAAACCGCCGATCAAAAGTTAAACTCCGATTCGAGGTTAAACTACCTTTTTGATCTCCACCCTTACACTTTTTATCTCGCCTCGCGGAACACTAAAAAATGAAAGGGTAAAATTGATAAAAAAAAACGGTGTAATGTAGCGGTTCCCAATGGGTTCGTCGTGCGAGTTGCCAAATGCGCCGCAAAAACCAACAGGATTATGTTAAACTTAAAATATGATTGAATATTTTACATATTTCATTTGTTATAAATGTTTTATTGTCCTAATTTAAATGCTATGTATATGAATAAACAAATTCATTTTACCTTTACATGTCGTTTACTTTCCATTACGAAAGGTTTGCCTCTAATGTTACGTCTAAACGGTCTAATGGAGTTTAGAAGTGCTTGCTGCAACTTCGCGAGCTGCAGTTTATTTATCTGCTGAATCGAGTTTAGCGAACATGAGTAATTTTTTCAGCATTTCAAAGTAAAACCAGGCAGAGATGGCGGAAGAAGAGTTAACCATTTGCCTCTATTCTTAAGACCTACTTGTTTGCCTATAGCAAAACCAAAGGGTTTGCTGCAAACTTGACAATGAACTTGACAGTGAAAAAGCTAGGCCGACGGTTAACGTGAATGCCACCCTACCCTAGTTAGTCCTCTTTCTCATCGTGTCAATAAATTCATTCCGTCGGCGAAAAGGGAGCATTGTTACGTCACTTTTTGCATCTTTCTGATTGGCCAATGTCACGAAGTAAACAAGGAAGTCGATGCTCGGGAAAGGTCCATCACATGCGTGTTTCACGTGGGGTAATTTGAGATGTTGTATGTTTACTTAATAACGAACGTAACAGGCGACTGCGTGGTTTTTTATTATCTTGCTGATTGTTGACTGGGGGCTCAGAAGCATCTGCCTGTAATCAATTTTTATAGTCGTCGACCTGATATTTAATGAGTTTTTTCATCGTTTTGGTTTCGTTTGCTCAACTGAATCTATAATCTGATTTTACTTGTCTCATTTTCAGGTAACTCGGTAGTGTGTGTACCAGGTTAGGCAATAGTTTTATTCCGTTTTTGTTTATTTTAGTTCTATTACGAGTTCGGGACTGAATATACCCTCTTCATCGCCAAACGTCCATTATCAAAAAAATTCAAAGTGTATGCAACCGTTTTATTAGAAAAGTTTTCAATAGAGGAAATCGAGAAAAATTTGATGACTTATTTAAAGAGTATAAGCTGCTACATGTTGAAGATTTAGCTAAATTTGAACTATGCAGCATGGTGTTCTCTAGCTACAACGGGCAACTTCCATCCAGCCTGAACAGATTGTTTCGAACAAACCCAAATTCAAATAGCAGAAATAGGGAAAAAATTATCTCACAAGAATCCATTGCAGTATGTGGACCAAAAGCTTCGAATTCCCTACCTAATGGCTTAAATCAAACTCAGAATTTCGTTCCAAACTTATGCAACATTTGTTATAATCATATTAACCAAAATCTTTGTTTGAACATATTACTGTTTCGGAGTTTATTTTTTCTAGGGAATTCGGTTACTAAGATGGGCTACCAGAGACTATTTGGATTGAAAGCACCAACAGTAAACTCCGAAGGATATCAAATCACCACACAGTAGATGGCGACTTCAAACTCCGCAGGCTACCTCAGCAGGATGCAATATGAAACAATGAACTGAATTACTATTTTAACAAACCCTTCTAATCTTATTATCATGCTTAATTAGACAAAGATAATAAAAACAGCAAATTAGGTTAAAAATAATGAATTACAATTACATCAAATTTGAATCCAGCCATCGATAGAAACAGTTCTCTTTGTCAAAGTAGCATGCTGGGCCCTTTCTTTCTCATATAGGTCATAGCACAAAATCAAATATATTCCTCTCTTCCTTCCCCCCATGAAACTATCTTACTCTATTGTGATCCTAATACAATTAGGGCAATCCATGACGTGGAAACAATGCTTCTTTTTATAAAATATTAGCCTTAATTAAATAGTACTTTTATACATTTATTTTCTTCTGGAAAACATGCAATCATGACAGGCTTTGTTGAAATGCTTTTCTTTGAGTTTATTTTTCCTTTTATTCTTACCACATTCGGCTTCAATTTTATAAATAAAACAAGAATACCTAAGAATTTGACACTCGAAATGAAGTATTTCAACAAAATCTGTATGGTTCACATTTTTGCTGAAATAGATTTATTCTATCAAAGACTCTACTAGCACCCTTGAGTGACGCATACCATATAGGCATAAGAACTGCAAATTTATCTCTTATACTTCGCCCATTCTTACTATATGGTCTCACCACTCAAAGGCGCTGTATTTGCGCCTAAATTTTGATTTCATTGTTTTGTAGGCCTATATGTTTATTTGGTGTTGTGTTGTCTCTATTTATATATATTGTCTTGTCTTATAAACTCCCCTGTATAGTTTTGTATACCCACCCTTACCACTTTCACCACACCAACCGATCCATTGCCCCACCTTGCACAACTGTCTATATAAGGGACCATATTATACATATTTAATCTAATGTTTTTTGTTTTATATTTGTCAAAAAGGGTACATGTCGCACATTTGTGTTTTAGGTCATTACGGTCTTGTGCATGCATCCCGTCTTAAATAATATTAATCGTTCAGTTATTTTTTTATCACTATTACGAGACGAATAAACATACATACATACATACTCTTCCCATAGGCTTCCGTCCCTTTACGCAACTTGATGTAAAGCAGGCGAACAAAATTAGTTACCTCCATATTGGTACGCACACTTCTACAGCGCCCATTTTTCTTTAATATTTTATTGCCTGTTGTACTAGTTGTGGTCTACAAAAAAATAGTACTTATATTACACTCACTATGTTGCCAAATGAAAGATTGGTTTACTTATTGGGAATAACTGATTTTTACTTAAATAATAACTTAGTAGAATCCTAATTCATTAATTATCATTATAAATTTTCAAACAACTATCAAGGGGCGCAAGTTTGGACTTTTCCATGGGCTCCAATTTAAGTAGATACGCCACTGCCAAAATATTGCAATGGTAAAGAGAACAAGATAGCTATGCTCAAATATATGGACACGTAGCGCCACCCAATGGCAATAATTTTGATGACGTCATAGCGAAAAAAAAAGCCTTCTGGAGAAAAATTTTATCTTCGACCACTGAAAATTTCAAAGCAATTGGTCCAGTATTCGAAGAGAAAAGCGACTTTTTAAAAACGTGTCAAAGAACAAGAACAACAACAACATAATATTGAAACGATCGTTATGTCTATTTCGTGCCCAATAATTTGGGCACAAGGGTCGGGGAAACGTCGAGCGATGAGGGTTTCCGCTAAAAAATTCACTCACTGATGGTAGTATTGAAAAGTTCGTCTCGCTTGGTCGCCTCGGGGTAAACGTAATCACCGACAACGTTGCTTTTCTGTAACGTAAAGTCTCTGTAACTTTATAGGCGATTGTGGAAAATCGGCCATATTTAGTTTCCGCAAACAGGATTAAATCAATCGTCGGATTCGCGGGAGAATGTTTTGATTATGCACGAATTCGTTCTATTTTGTTTTAGACATTAGAAGACCACAACAAATGAGCCACAATAGTACCGGTACCGGTACCGTACCCCTGTACCTGTACAAATTTTGGGTCTAGTATAGTTTAGTACCACAAGTACTTCCAGTGGGTGTAGCATAACGAATTTTGCATATGTTATTCCTAATCCCCACCTGACTATGCCATCCAAAAATTACGTCACTAGGACGTCACCATCACGTGATATGGCTTGCCAAAGTATAATTACAATCGCCCGAAATGGCATCTGCACCGCCGATAACGAACTCACCAACGCCAGCGGTCTCTCTCATATCGGGATCGTTTTGACGAAAAACGAGAGAACTAGCTTGCTCGATTTCGGGTGATCGTCTGTGCGTTTGGGACGACCATCCTCATACTTAGGTGGGTCTTATTGCGCCACTGTGACGTCCAAATGATGTAATTTTTCGATGATGTAGTCAGGTGGTACTAAACTATACCAGACCCCAAATTTTAACCATAATTTTATTTTATAAGCTTCGCTCGAGGAGCAGATTATAGGATAGGATTTACATATTTATCCCGGGGGAGAGGAAAGCCCAGATTATCCGCGTTTATCTCTTGTTTTTATTGTAATATTTTTGCGGTGAGGCGCATCGTGCTAAACGATAGGAATACGCTTGCCACTGCATCTCTGATTACTCTGGATTCGCAGTTGAATCCCATGCGGGGTAATTATGTGCAGAGGATTGCTGGACTCCTCGTTGTCATAGGGTGGTTCACGTGGCCACTGGTCGCTTATGGCTTCCTACATCATCGAGTCCATGCTTCCGAAAAACAAATACAGAAAAAACCTAACAAATCCCATATCCGACATGGACTGGTAAATGAACGAGAGGTTGTGGTTCTCCATATGATTAAGCCATCTTATCGGGTTTCCTCTTCCCTGGGACTCTTCCCTGTAAATCCTATCCTAATAAAATCTGTCCATCTAAAATTATATTAACCATTTCTAATTACCAAAAAAGGGGTGACTTTTGTAGAACATTTTACGTTTATACCATGGCTATTCTAACTTCAACTCGTTTTTTTGAAGACATTTAAAAAATTTTAAACACTGAACTGGCAAAATGCATGGGTCTTCCGGTGGCCAAGGTACTACAAGTACTCTGAAAGTTTTTGGGAATATTTTTATATCATTTATTGGAGCAGGAGTCCTTGGATTACCCTATGCATTCAAGGAAGCTGGAATACTTGAAGGGATAATAATTATGAGTACCGTTGGACTGTTAAGCGTTCGTGCAATGTTGCTTATTATTGATTCTAAGGATAGAATTTCCTCAGGTGAGACTTTTGTTTTTTCTTTTGAAAGAAATGTGTGAGATACTTCGCTTTGGGGAAATTTCATTTAAAAATGATATATAGCTCTAAATTCGGTACTCCTGAAGTATGTGAACCAAGATGGCGGACACCGGAACGTAGTATGTCTGTATGTGTACTAGGTCGGGGTTAGGCCAAAATTTCAGGTACAAATACTACATGGGAGTAGTGGCTAGTCCCCGAACTCGTAATAAAACTAAAATAAGGAAAATTGGAATAAATTTATAGCCTAACCCTAACGTGCTACACATACTACGTTCTGGTGTCCGCCATCTTGGTTCACATACTTCGGGAGTACCCTAAATTCTAGCTTCCTTTCCCAAAGGTATATTCTATTTTACTTTTTGATTTATTAATCACTAACAAATAAACGACGATTATTTGTGACCTTTTGTCATTTTTCCCAGTTTATACCAAAATAAGTGCTGTGTGAAATTTTTTTTTTTTTATAATTTGGATTTTGGTTGAGAAAAATTATAAACACTCTCTCTCTAAGAAGAACATGTTTGAATTAGTTGTCCCAACCTTTTCTGATACATTTCCCCTCTCACCAATACGTCTGAAACTTGCTCTGTTGTTGTCTAATCTTTAATGGATTCATTACCTAGTGATATAAACAACTTGCACTCTTACCACAATATTTATAATACAAGGGGGGCGCTAGAAAAATTTGTCAAACAGCTATTTATTTTTACATAGAATAACTTTTACAAAGTTTTTTAAAGGCATATGTTATATTACAATCATAAATGCTCAAAATGTTGTCCCTGCACTTCAGAGCAATGTCCTAAGAAGTCCAAGTTCATGTAGGGCTTTGAGGGTTAACTTGTGGGATATTGTTCAAATTTAACTTATACCTATACGCATTTCATTCGTGATCTCATCAGACATTCAAATTTTCTGCTTTTCTAGTGACCTCCCTGTAGTTTATGATGTGTGCTTAAATATGTATTACAAATTACAGTAATACCTAATAATACTAAGTGTCAGTGAGGTTAATACATTTAAATGCAATGTAAAATTTCTTTCCCAAAAGCATGAAATTCTTCTATATATGCTCCCTGAGATTGCAGCCGGGTCAGAAATGCTGCCCTAAGTGTTTTTAATTTTACGCGACGGGTAAAAATAAGCTTTTTTTTAAATAAATTAGGAAATAAAAATAAATTATTTATTGTTCAGGGTCATCAAGATCTGCAATTGATGATGCATTTACTATGGAAAGTGAGACAGCATTGCTTCCTAATGGTTCTACAAAAAAGCTAGAAAAAACAAGAAAAGCAGACAATTCGCATAAAGAAATATGTTACGGCGACGTAGGTTATGAAGCATATGGGAGACTTGGCGCAAATGTTGTAGACGGATCTATTGTTGTGTCACAAGTTGGATTCTGTTGCGCATATTTAATATTCATCACTGAGAATATTGCGCAATATTTTACCTCATATTCTCCTGAAATTGATGGGGAACACGAACCGGGTTCAAATGCACAAAAAATTGTTCTAGCGTCACTTTTTGTACCTTTATGCTTTCTATGTTTTTTGAAGCACTTGCATAAACTCGCGATTTTTAGTTTATTTGCTGACTTTGCGAATGTTTTTGCCTACACAATTGTATTTTGGTTCGACTTTGAGCACGCTGGAAAAGTTAGAATGCACCCAAAAGAAATGGACATTGCTGGACTTCCATTTTTTGCCGGGATCGCAATTTATTGTTATGAAGGAGCCGGAATGGTGCTCTCATTAGAAAGCTCGATGGCAAAGGAAGTACGCAACCAATTCCGAACGATTTTTAAATGGACAATGCTGCTTATTACAACTCTTTACATCATTTTTGGAGTGTGTGGGTATATGTCTTTCGGTCCAGAGACAAATCCTATTATTACTTTAAATCTTCCAACTGGAATTTTCCCATTTTTGGTGAAAGGGTGTCTGTGCTTCTCTTTATTTTTCACATTTCCCGTTATGATGTTTCCTGTAATTCAAATTTTAGAGAAACGAATCGGACTAGAAAACTCACCAAAGAAAGGAAAAATTTTACGATCTACTATGGTTTTGCTGACTGTAATCATCGTGTTACTAATTCCGTCGTTTGCAGATTTAATGTCACTGGTTGGCGCCACATGTTGTAGTTTGATAGCCTTTATAATGCCTGCGATGTTTCATCTCAAACTATTTCAAGGCGATTTAACAAGGTCACAAATATTATTGGACTATTTTTTAATTTTATTAGGCATAACTGGAACCATTATCGGAACATTTGATTCATTAAAACGAATGGGAATCATTCCTTCAGGACATGTTGAGTCTGGCGGGACCCATAATGTCACAGTACCTTTGGCATAAACAAATAGTGTACCTTAGTACTTTTGCACTTATCTACTCTTTAGTACTCATGACTTTAAATCTTTTTTACATACATGTATCTAATATTTATCCTATAGATTTTTTGTAAGCTTTGACTCCGAACAAGCCCCCACTAAGGAGAATGGGCCTACTAACTAAAACATTCATATATTCTGTCAGAGAGAATGTAAAATAATACAATTAGGCCATATATGGCAATTAGGAGGCCTTTTTCTGCAACATTATATTTGGTGGGTGTGTGGCAATGTTCAACTAACATTATTTTTCAACTTTGGAAGTTCAGTAGAATAGATTTGACTTTCCTCACAGTAGTTTATAAGTCTCAACCCCTTTACAAATATCGTGCTCCACCGCAAAAATAACTAGCTAACAATAAGCTACAAATAACAGATAGTAAGGCGAAAGTATATTTCATCCGTTTATGAAAAATATGTGGATGGAATCTCAATATCCAAAATAGGGAGGGCAAGATCAAATCTAACGTTTTTTTTAATTAGTTTATGCCCCATCAAAAAATTGTCTACGCCCCCTTTTTTTTTGGGGGGGGGGGGTCCCACCATTTGAGAACCACTGCATTTAACGACCTGTGCATCACAAGCAGAAAAACAACCAATCTAGACAAATAACGGTGCTCCAGAAGTATGCGCACCACCAAGATGTTGCACAACCTTAATCCTAACCGGTACATACATACTATATTCAGGTTGTGCGCCATCTTGGTGCGCATACTTCTGAAGGTCCCAAATAACTACTGATAAATTACGTACCTACTGTTATTTGAAAAAAACAGAATTTTCCCTTTTCAACATTGCCCACCGAATTTACTCTGGTTGAAGTTGAGTGCATGGGATCCAAACCTAAGATCTTGAACTTAGTATGCCAACATAGTTACATTCTGACTGCTATTATAGGCTCTTGTTGGCAGATTAATTAAGATATCATTTGTATTTTGTTTTACTTATATATATTTAATAATCTAAATTTTATGAAAATTTATTGTCAAGTGTCTTATTTTTTTAATGTGTTGAATATCGCCAGTGTTTGAACTTTTCATTTAGTGAGGTTTAGACCAGGTTTCTGAAACTTTAATTATTCGTGGTCACCTCTCAAAGACTCCCCAACACTCCGTGTAGCCCCCTGATCTCCTTTAAGAATACCAGTTTTGCTTTTGACATTCATTTCACGCCATGTTTGAAAAGGAAAAAGACAACAGATGAAAGCTAAAGAGTGAACGAATTACGATCAAAGGATGAAACATTGCTCATTCAATTTACACTTTGTTATTGTTGTCGTTCAGATTGGTTCTTATTTACAGCATTTGCTTATACTCCCTGGAGGGCCCATTTTGACTAACTTTAATTAGGACCCAGGTCTCTCAACCTTTGTGGGTTGATTACATGCTGCAAGTTTTGAGCTTGAATACAGAATTTCTTACAATAAAATGGGATTCACTCTTTTTCATTAGCAAATTTTCCAAAATTTTCTGGCATTTCTCTTATGGCTGCCCTTGTTTTCAGAAAACTTTATAATATTCAGCCTTGAAATTTCAAAGGTTTCCGAGGGGTGGCTAGCCTTTTCACAAGCTTCATATCCACAGTAGATTGTGCAAAATTTTCTGATTTTCTTATCACAGGCCCATTGCTTTCCACTAGGATTAATCACTGCACAATTTTTCATATAAATGCTCGTATTTGTGCAGAAGCTGTGTTGCTCTATGCCGCGAGGATGGATTTCTGTTTAGCCTTTGATGTGTTAATTTTTGCTATTCGATCAATATATTGGAACACTTATTTTAGCAAACTCGCAGCTCATCTTTTAGTACTCTTTCTACTCTAGTCATGGACTTTGCTTTGAGCAAATTTTTATCAATTTAGTGCTTGATTTCAAAGTGTTTTGCCCATTTTCCGTTCTAGGATCTTGTCGGTTAACAAACACTAGTCTTATTACCCACAGGGAATATATGATTCTAATTAAAAATGAATGGATTAAACATGGTATTTATAGTTTTAACTTGAGCACACTATCAAATATGAAACTTGGGACAAATTGGTAGGATTACCAGATAGACTTAAACTCTTTAAATATTTGTACTTTAACATAAATTTATTATTTTATTCTATGTTATGTACTATTGCAATTTAACTCTAGAAGCTGAGTGGTAAATATAGTAGATTGCCAAGGGGCGATGCAATTGCTTTTTTGTTTACTTTAAAATTGTTACTTTCAATTTTTGTTTTCACGGTATTATTATTAATAATAATAGAGTAGAACATTCATTATAATATGTAGTAAGGCATATGTTTTAGTTGTTAATATTTGATGTGGGGACTGTTTTGATCCTTTATTGTGGGATATAAAGTATGCTGGTGGCGTTTGAAACGGGTGTGCAACCTTTATTACAGGAGGGCCAAAGTAACTGTGTGAAGCCACGGGCAGTACCTTTATTTAAGATAGCCTTTCTTGTTGCAGCAACATAAAATTGTTTTGTTACTTATCGATTTTAATCGGTAAGTATGTTGATAGGTATTTGTATGTCTGTATGTTTGTCTGTTAGATGCACGCGATATCTCACGAAAGCAAGATTGAATCTGCTCCAGATTTTGGGCGAATTATGTCGTATAATTAGCGAGTTATCAATCAATTATTGATATAGTGATCTAGATTTTTGTAAAGCGAGAGAATTTTGGGGGCCGCTGAGTGTGTGTGTGCGATGCGCAGTGCGCAAGTTACAAGAGCGGATGAATCGAAACTGCAGTTTCTGTTTTGGGATATCCCCTAACTTTCGATCGATAAGTCTTCGGTTTCCAACCGATATTCTCGTCTTTCTGCATTATTAGGTATGTTCCATGCAGAAATGTTGAGTCAAACCGGATAAATTTCTAGAGGAAACTGTTATACAAATTTATTGTCACACAGACATTTAACGAATACAACGATGAGCACGCTTTTATAACATTGTGTATTTCGCAACAAGATCTTGCTATTATGACAGTGGTATAGGCTTTGCAACGCAAATAGATTGGAATTGCTCGCATGTACCAGATTAACTAAACTAAAAACTTGTTTTGCGGGCATTTCCATTTAAACTTGGCACTTCTCAAAGATATTCAAACAATTAGTGTTATACCTTTGGTGTGTTTATTTTCTGGGTGTGGCGCGATTTTGCTAAATTTATTATTAGTGAAGCATGACAGGCGACATTTGGCCTCTTTTGTTCAAGTATGATAATTCTGCCAACTATACTTTTGATCTCCTATGAATCATGATCATCAAATTCCTGCCCAATATGCCAATCAGCATATCCTTATTTCTGTTTTTATTCCTCAGTATTTTTCCAGCGACTTTATTCATGTTTATGTACTAATAATTGGCCCATTAGGTGTGTGGAAAAGCTGGGATCTTTTGTACAAAACTCGCCACCAGCGGTCAGGGTTTGGAATGCAGAATGCGTTGAAATTAAAATCATTCCTATCTTCAACTTGAGATAATCACTATTCACTAGTTTGTTATTTTAAAACGTTATGGGGTATTTTTTTTAAATCTCACATTTTTTGCTTTACTGGTTGGGGGCTTTGTACAAAAGAATTATTCAATTATACTACTGTACTTTTCTCGTGTATTGTATTGCGTCTGTTCATTTTACCGAGTACATTTTAATTATTCTCTATGAATACACAATTTAATTTTTTGTAGTTTATTACCTCACAATGCATATTTTCATGATTGTCCAGCTCAAATAAATCATAGATAAATCGATTGTATTTGAGGAACTAATATTCATTTATCAAAGATTGTAGTTTTGACCCCCCCCCAAAAAAAAATAAAATTTATTTCCCCCTAGCAAATGACTTGGATTATCACCATGCAGACTCCGGAACTCTCAATTCTGCTTGCCTACATATTATTCAGAACTTAGGCCCTCGCTGCTTTGAGCAAACTTTCGAATATAATGTGCTGGCATTCCTTGTTTAACTTAAAATTTTGTTTCTCAAGTGCTTTCATTACTGTGTAGAAAAATTAAAATGATTATATTTATGAGCGTTTATTTTTTTCAATTGAGTGAAATAGCCAGGTCAAATCTAATGTCTACCTCCTCATCCAGTGCATATCACAAATTGGGTTGCCAATCCTGAACCGAAAAGGGTACTCTCATAGTATGTGTACCAGGTTGGAGTCGGGCATAATTTTCCTTATTTTATTACGATTTCGGGGACTGTCTGTGTTCGCCAAGTGACAGTCCCTTTACTTCACTTACTTCAGTCCCACAACTTGATGTTAGGCGAACAAAATTAGTTACTGCCTCTATATTGGTACACACACACACTTCAGAGCACCGGCACAATTGCCTAATGACTGAAGTATCGGACTTGACATGTTGAAATTGCGAGTTAAATTTGCGCATTTCCATAACGACGAAATAAACTAGTTTCGGTCAGATCATTGTGGCCAAAGAAAGGTTCGCATACTTGTTATATTTGCGAGAAGTTATTCATTTATGAAAGCTAGCCGTCAGTCAGCCCTTCGCACACGGCCAAAAATCCAGCATAAGTAAATGAATCTGCGTCTCATTTGGTGTAAGATTCAAGTGTAATTTCACTAAATACAATCAGATTTCTTTTGGTATTTTTTGTGTATCAATTTTGTACCTAATTTGTTGGTTTGTGGCCCGCGTTGTCAATACAGTTCAAAAAGCGGCCCCATATTTTTGCGAATATTGCCACAAGACATTAACCATGAGTCAGTTACAGGCATTAGGTTATGCAATGACTGATCTAAACTGAAACAACTTAGAAGACAAATTGTCCATCGAGTTTTTTAAATAAATCAATTTCAAAAACACAATAAAAAATTTGACGAGTAGATAGCAAAACCAGAAAAAACAGCTACTGTTTTTGAGTCAAAAAGGGTATGAGAGGCTGCCAAATGTTTGTTATGTCATCTTGCCAACTTGTGAATGTTACGAAAACAAACTGATAGGCAGTTGGTGTTAACTGTATCTTTATTGTATTTCCGGCAACTAGCATTTTCCCAGATGGCTTAGCGTGACCTGTGATGTCATCAGTTACAGATGATTGATCATGACGACCAACCAGCTGGGAAGGTGAAGGGGTCATGTGCTCTCAATAGTCTGGTGCACACTGCAGTTCGTTACTCATGGGTTATTTCCGTTATTGTTTTGGACTTTTGTTAAATATTAATTCGAACCGGATTAACAGTTGAAATCTCTTCTATTACTTGAGGCCGTCTACTTTTTGACTTAGTTGATAAGAAAATTCTAGAAAATCAAAAATGTTTCAACGAAGGGCATGTTTTTTCTCTGCCGGCATGGAAACGCATATTACTAAAGTGACAAGTTAACTCATGTGAGAAATTCCATCCAGATTGGTCCAGTCCAGACTCTTCAGCTAGATCACAGTTATAACAACTGAGAATAAGCGTCTTTGGAGTCAAGACTCGATCATGATGTAAGGGTTTCCATGTTCATGGGAGTCCGGTTCCTTGTCAGGAGTTCAAAACTGTTCTGGATCAAATTGACACCTTTTTTCCTGCAAGAAAATAGAAACAATGAAAGCCATAAATTTGCTATTTTCATGATACTAATAGGGTGGTTTCACTTTTACACAAAAAATTAATTTCATCAAAAATCGCACTTCATTTGGCACATCTTTTATGGACAGTTGGACACTGTCAATAAATTGCTTTTTGATTTGACTTACTTACATTTATTGGTGGACTCAATGTATCAGTGACCATCCAGTACTGCCGAGCTGCCATGATTGTAGAATTCACTCTTTCATTCACACCTTGAAAGCTTTTTTATAATCCTTCGCAATGGTTCACGATTTTTTATATCCAAATAATGTAGTATTTCTTATTATTAATGTTAGAAATTAATCCTAAAATACAAAAACTACAAATTACTAATCAAAAATGTTATTGAAAAAAATGCATAAGAATTAATGTGCAAACAAATAATTGAAGAGTACATGTTATTGATGAAGTGCAAGCTTTCAATTCAATAGATGACAGCTAATTATAAATTTTAAACTAAAATTCTGAAATGTAAACCAAATGATAAAAAATGCTTATAATGAAAAGGAATTTCAGACTCACAGTGCTAAAAGTTAAAGTCAACATTTTTTACATAATAAATACAAAAGTTGATGAGAAAAACACACAAAACGGAGTTTGCCACCCTCGAGTTCCACTGGTACAATTTAGGGGTTCAGAAAAATTCCATCCAAATTTGAGAATCAATATTAATATATTATATTGTTTAAATTTTATCAAATACATATTAGATTCGCTACTATTATTAAACTTGCTACACTTTAAAGATCCATTTCGTTTTGCCAGTATTAGGCTTGCTTTTGTATATACTGGTATATTTACAATTTATACAGTCCAGACAATTGAACTATTGTACAGGGAGTTGTGGCATGTTTCATCCGCTTCACCAGAAAGGTTGAAAGCTACTGGTTTGGTGTATGATCTACTATAGCAAGACTTGATAGCACAAATGTGGGAAATATAACAGCATTGTTACTTGTTTGTATAGGTTTGTTTCGGCTCAGGTTCCAAATAGCGAGTGTCAAAACAGCAACTGTCATAATGGCGACGTAATCAAGTGAGCGACTGTCATAATGACGACCGCATTAAAACAGCGACTGTTATGATAGCGTTAGGGTTAGTTCAAATAAAATGTTGTTTTCCCTTTTGGGTTCAATCTTTCACTACGCAGTGTTTGCCTGTTTGTGCGTGTGTAGAGAGGTCCGTAACCCTAACACGAGTTAAGTCGCTATCATAACAGTCGCTGTTTTAATGTGGTCGCCATTATGACAGTCGCTGTTTTGACCGCATAACACAATGCGTAAAATAGCAGCATTGGCTTGTTTACGAGGTTGCTTCAACTGGTTAAGTTGGTAGATTTTTACCCAAGGTCCTACTTAAAAATTTTCTCAAGATTATTGTTGAGTGGGGTCAAAGGTCATACATTCACAATTTTTATTCAGTAACATTCCAATTGGCCAAAATCTGAGTTTCTCAGGAAAGCAGTTTACAAGTAAAAGTGTGGTACAGGACTTTGCAAGAATACAATCAGTACATATGGATCCCCAAACACAAGGCAGAGCTAAAGGAGCTGTAATTAGGTACACAACTCTATCAAAAAATACTTTTGTAGCTCTGTTGGAAACTGTACAAGCGGCACTGCACGAGCAGCACTGTTCATGCCGTCAGAAAGAGAATTGTAGACGACACAGAAAAGCTCCGGGAATAAATCATAAAACAGTTCCCATACAGCCTCTCTGGATTTAAGCATAGTCGCCAGATTCATATTTTCTTGAAAATGCTCGTCAATGTTCCGAATAAATCTAATCAAATGAATAGGACAAGAATGATCATATCTTATCCCTCTGAAACCTCCCTTTGCTATATATCCGAGTTCAAACAGAGCTTCTGGTGTCATATATGACCGATTCTGTCGAATTGTCGAAAGCCAACCAAGCTTGCCATTGCCAGTGTTGAAGTTTATGAATAATTTGCTATCTTTTCGTATTCTCTCAATAATATGCTCTCCAATTGCATCTGACTTTTTATTGAGAATAAAAGGATACAAATACTTCTTCACTTCATTCAAAAAATCCAATTTTTTGTTGCTTGTCCAAAAGTAGGGATGCAATAAAACTTCATTACCAGTCAGACGAGAATCTGCTTTGAAGCTGATCATCTTCTTTATTAAATCTTTGGCAAGTTCAGCATCCAGACCCATTATCCCACTAAGAAGAGGATCAGCATTATCAATTATCCTGGGCTTCCATAGATATTCTTTATCCCCAAAGACATGTTTACCGTCTGACAATATGAAATAAAACACGAGTCCAGCGGAATAAATGTCCGATTTATAAGACATTGTATTTCCTTTGTAATGCTCTGGTGAACCCCATCCATCAGTGCCAATCTCTCTCCCAGATTTTGAAAATTTGGATTTGTTGGGTATAATCTCCTTACTGAGTCCAAAATCAGCGATTTTCATATTTTTTTTATCTTGAGAGAGCAAGATATTCTGTGGCTTCAGGTCTCTATGAGCAATCTCATTACCATGAATATGGCATAGTCCTTGCGTTATCTGCTTTAGAACATCTTTTCGGTCCATTTCCAGTGTTTTATTCAATACCAGTTCATATAATGTATCGGTATCACAAAGTTCAACAACAATATATACAGAGTGCCCAATTCCAACTACTTTCCCAGATTTTCTATAAAGAACTGTGTTACGATGGCTAAGAAGTTTCTGATTGTTATCTATTTCTTTATGCAGCTTTTCCTCATTCCCCCCCATTAGTAATTTGATCGCAACTTTTTCCAATTTTTGGGAAGCACCTCCCAAATATCCCTCATACACCATATAACCTTTTCTTAAAGGTCGCGATTCATCTAACAAGACATCTTTGTCAATCTCCTCGCCTGAAAAGTGAGTTGAATGAAAGCCTTTTTTGAAGCTCATTCAAACAATTTATTACACTCTGGATAGTTGGTAATAGCATTAGAAACCAGAGATAATTATGTATATTCAACCATTTATTGGCAATGTTGAAACAGAATGCTTTCAGTCGTTCCAAAAATATTCCAGAATATTGACTTCTAATTTGGCAGCAGATGCCTATTTTGCTTGGTTTTATTAAATATTATCTTATAAATATATCCTACTTGCTATTTTGTATAAAAAGACTATATTATCTCAATTTGAATAGCTTAAAGAATGCTTTTGTTTTGAGTACAAGATATTCAAACTTATTGGATAATCATTCTAATTAATTTTGCTTTTAACACATTTATTCATAAAATTAGTGATACTTACAAATCCTTAGCTTTTCTGAAGCGATTGTGAATGTAAAACCTTCTGAACTATTCCAGGCATGAACTTCAACGTGATAGTATTTAGTAGGATCAGGAGATTCAATTCTCAAGTATGGCTCTTCGGTTCGAAGCTGGTCACCAAGCATTTCATCGTCACAAAATTTTTGAACGTTGAAGTGCTCCACGAAACCTTGACATTCCCATTTAATCACAATATCACATGATTCTCTACAAATGTTGATTTTAGGCTGCAAGTATAGAACATGTGATATTTGAATATGATTTAACATAAAAAGTACAACATACTGAGTCTGATATATATATAAAGTAAATCAGAGAATCTTTGGATAAATAAAGAACCGAATGTATCGTGAAACTAAGCCATATATGGCTAGTTAACAGGTGATCATTGGATTAGCATAGGAAATATAGATTTGAAAATGCAAACATAATGCTAGCAAGTAGGTAATCTTTGGTTAGATACAGAAAAAATGGATTTTAAAAATTAAAAACAACGAGCATCTTTAACTGTGGCTAGATTGGGAAGATCATCTTTGTCTTTATATAGAAAAATAACGTTGGAAATTTGCTGTCTTTCAATCAGAAATTAAAAATTTTTTGGAAACTACTACCGTATTTCTCCTTACATAATATGCAACCATAGATAATATGCACCTAAATTTTAGTACATTTATTACGAGAAATTTTCAGACTCCACGCATAATACATAAGGATGGGACGAGTCCAGCATTACAGAGATTCGACGAATCCGAGTAATAGGTCAAGGACTCGAATCGAATCTTCCGAGTCCGTGACGTCACAATGGAAAAACACGTTTTTGGCCATGTCACAGCAACGTGCGCTCACAAACATACGTCGTAGCTCATATTTTTTGCCTAATGATTCAGCAGGTAGCTGTTGAATCATTTATATTTTTCTTCTTTTTTGGCGGCCATAATACAAACGTAAACAAGGGTCAATGTGCGCCTTGGTTGTAATCTGCATTTCCAGCCCACCACCTACCGTTAAATCTAGGCGGCTATTTCAAATATCTTACATGTTAATATGAAAAATAAAAAGCTTTTGACTACAATGCTCCCCCATAATTCCAGATACTTCTAGCCGTAAACTTACTATGTCGCGTGCTCAAATGGTAGATGCCACTCATCAATACAATATGGTACATCTGCTTGCAATTTAGTAGTGCATGTAAAAATTCTAAAATTCTCGCTCCCCTGCTAGGGAAACGATTGCACGTAATAAACTCGATTTAAAAGAGATTTCCCCTTGGGTTGATCTAGAGCAGTGGTTCTTAAACTTTTTGAGCCGCGCCCCCCCATTGAAAAATTTTACAAACTTTGCGCCCCCCCCCCTCTTTTTGCTTTGAAAAAATGCTTTTGTGATGGACAAGTTGTTATATATTAAGATGGCGCTATAACTGAGTGTTGGTCTCATAGTGTCATTGCTCAGATTGTTTAGGCATAAAAAGCTTCGGAGTACAACTTCGCCATTCACTGTCGTATGTATAAAGCCATACATTCTCGTTTTTCCGCTCAGTTTGCAATACTTGGCAATGTCAAACTAATTATTAAGTAAAACTAAACAAGCAATAAACCTATGCTTTAATGTATTTTCTGCTTAAACGTTTACATAAGACACGTAAAATTTCAATCAATTGTTTTCGCTAAGGCGTTTGCCATTGCATTTTGTTCAAATCTCCATTGTTTATGTCAGCATGGCGCGTTATTTAAGCCCTAAAAATCTTGATTTCGGTGTTTATTCTTCCTAAATCCGAAATTTCCCTCGACATATTCTTGTGCCGCGAAGACGATTATAATTACTTTTTTTGTTCTCGAATGGAACCATGACACCTCTGAGGAAAACGAGTTAGTTTTTATTATAATCATCAGCGACGAGATGCTGAAGATAGAATAAAGAAGTGTATCCGTATATAAAAATTTCTTTATTGTAAGAGTGGCATTATAAAATACTAAAAATGAAAAGGAAAACGCCATGAGTTTTGTTTTGGGGTGGACCGCGACAGATTAAAAACACTTTCTTAGATGTTGAAAATCTCATAAATTTCTTGTGCGTGCGCCACACCAATATAGTGTTCTATAACTACAGACTTGATATAAATTTTACTCCGTGGGATCGCAGACTTAGAAATATCTGTAACGGTGATATCTTGAAATTAATCGAGTGGCGGCATTGCGATAGAGCGGAGTAAGAGTTGCAGGGACAGCTCATATTGGTGAAATTGGCAAGAATACAAATCAAAACAAAATGTAATCGACATTTTTATGGTTGCGGATTACCGTGTTATTTTGGAGTACTAGTGCTTTTATTTTATCGACGCGATCGCAGATTTAATTTATCACAATTAAATGAATAAAGCAACCATTTTAAATAAATATATCAATCATGGATTGAATGTTTTATTCAACAGAAAAACCATTACATATCCGTCGAAATAGTCGGCTCTTTTAATGACTGGCGTAATCTCCAGGACTGACTCAGAAGCCGTACCGCGGGGATTTCGTTTCGATGAATATGTATTTTTCATCTACTAATATACTTTACATGTATTTTAATTGTACTAAATTAAATATACTTTCTGGGATATTATACCAGATCTTTCTAATTTTGACAACGAATTCGCATGAGTGCAATATATATAAAAACTAAATATAATCGGGCAGTTGATCACACTTTATTATGTCGCGGATTGGCATGGTATTTTAGATAGGTAATGAGTTTATTTTGTCGTGAGTCGCTGCAACCGCGAGTTACCTTGAACACGAATGAATTGAAATAGAGAACAACTTTGAATTATTGTAGTTATTACGAGACAGAAAAATTTATTATAACACGAAAAAGCCGGTATTTTCAACGAACGCGGAGACCATTTCAGGAGCCGTTACATGTAAATTTACGATTTCATCTTGTGACCTCTCGCGCCCCCCAGTTTAAGAACCGCTGATCTAGAGCATGTTTCATTTTTACGCGAATCGAAAACACAAAATTATTGCTAACACATATTTTATTGTTCACGTGTATACCAAAAAAGATAGATAGTTTGAAGGCGACTGGCGGCGACATCAGTGTTATAAGCGGTCAATAGTTTTCAACACGCGTTATATTATCTGGATATATCGTCGTTTTTATTAGGAGTGTTTATAAAACACACGAGGGATGTCGTTACAGATCTAACCTTGATTTTTAATAAGTAGGCTATGTACTTAGATTTATGGAGGTAAAAGTACAGAACATAGGCATAAATTAGTGAAAACAGAATTGATTATAGATTCGGTAAAATGATGTGGACTCGAAATCGAATCAGAGTCCAAAAAATGCGTGGATTCGACTCGAATCCGGATCTCGGCCCATCCCTAATAATACATACGCATATCAAAATTCCGCCCCTCTCTTGCGTTGCAGGTGTTTTTCCAGGAAGCGTTTCAGGAATTGGCATTCTGTCTGCCTGCTTTTTGTGAACTATATATATCTGGGAACATGTTTATGTATTTGCCTGTGAAACGTCTGCCAATCATGATGTGATGTTATTTGACATTAAAGTATAATGTAAAGTTATTTAACTCTCCTCCTCCTGTCCTGATTAAGTTTTTCTGAATAGAAATTAGAAACTTTGGCAAATTGCATTGTTTTGCTAACACCGATTGTGCTTTATTTATCATCGATATGAATTTACCTGGTGGCAATAATGCGATATGGTGATTTATGACCGTAAAGTTTTGCGGACTGGCGAAAACGAGAGAAACAAAACAGACAATGACAGCAGTTAACAGGTGTACGACGTGCTTTTATCACTTTCATTTCACGTTTTTTCCGATGCTTGAGTTGATGAACGGAATAGCACTGTTGCTGCTTTTATTAACGCTAAATTTTTGTTTGAACTTGGTATGCTTCTATCGAATCAAGCATGAACTTATTCTGACATACTTTGTTTGCCACACCAAATTAGGAAATAGGTTAATACATGTGACAAATTATTAGCAAGAAAATGAGAATAATATTTTTAATATTTTCTAGACCAACGGATACTAAATTGGACCACGAAAGTGTGCATTATACACAGAGAAATATTGTAATTTTGATCGGTCCTAAATTCCTGAAAATACATTTTACAAAAAAGCGCTTGGGGCCATTCCTGTTGAGGACCCATTCCTGATTGTGCCGCAGAAGCCTGAAATTGAGAAAAATTTCTGGAAAACAACTAATTTTGATCATATTAAATTCCTGAAATAACATTTTTACAAAAAAGCGCTAATTCAAAATTTTCTTTCACAATAATGAGCGCATCTCCCTAATGCTCACCTGATGTGGTGCAGACCTGTCCACCCCTAGCGGAGCGCTGTGAGAAAAACACAGACTGAGCAGTGAAGGAGGTGGGTCTTGCGCGGTGGACGAGAAGGTATCTCGAGGGTCGAAGAGAAGTATCTTGAGCGTCGAAGAGGAAGGTATCTCGAGCGTTGAATGAGGAGGTATCTCGAGCGTGGAATGAGGAATTATCTCGAGCGGTGAATGAGAATTATCTCGAGCGGTGGAAGAGGAGCTATCGTATCAATTCTCCTTCTTATCAAGCAAGCGTTGCGAAACTAAAAATCAATTACATATTGTGGGGAGAGGAAAAAATGAGACGGGGCATATAAATATGGCTACAAAGGAGTATGTCTGTATTTATCCCAGGAAAGAGAAAAGTCAATATGACGACTTGATCATATGCCGGTCCAGGCGTCTTGTCCAGTAACTATCCATGTTGGGTATGTAATAGTTATCCGGTTGCTTCAGATGAAGGACTTGGTATCAAAGGGTTAATAGCTAGAAGTTCCAACACGAAAACCAGACATTGAATTTAATCATTATTATAATATAATCACATAATTTGCATGGCAGGTGAGATTTGAAGTGAGTTCGAAACTGGGCAAATATGACCCACTTTATAAAAATAAACATACTTTGCATGGTAGTTGCAGACATTCCTCGTGCTGCTTGCATTGGGGGCGACATTCTGACCTGATTTTGAGGCGCGATTCCACCAACCCCCATTCCAGTTTGGTTGACTTCAGTTGGGGCCATTCTTGTTGAGGACCCCATTCCTGATTGCGCCGCAGTAGCCTGGCCCATTTGTACCCCACCCTGGCTCATCCCTGAAGACTGCATAGTGTTTACATTCCCTACTTGAGCTTGGTGCTGTTGTTGTTGTTGTTGGACTCTTTGAGTTACTTTAATACAATTTATTTTCGTTAGATGACTGAACAAGCGATACTTGAGACAAAATGAGGATTCAATACAGTTATTTTTATTTTATCAACTTTTGAATTTAGAATTATAAATATTTGGAATTTTAAAAGAAAAATGTAATTCCCTGCATTGTTTATATTAGTGGCTGCTTGTATGGGATTTGGAGCCGAATCTGCTCCCTGAAAGTTGCAGACCAGCGGTTTTCAACCAAGTTTACACAACACCCTGGGCTTCCGAAAGTTCCCATTTAAATCCAAGAGTCTATATTACTATATGTACATTGGTTGAATTGAATAATCAAAAAAATATTAGGTTTGCCAAAATTATTAAACTTGCCAGTTTAAAGATATTTTGTTCTGCCAGTAAGGTTCACTTTTATATATGTTTATAGATAAAAGCAATTTATACAATAAAAGATATTCAAACTGTTGCTCAGAGGTTCCTCTGGAATACCGGTACTTCTGTTCCATTGGGTTCCAGCCCCAAAAAAGGGTGAAAACCACTGGTCTATATAATTT